GGGTAAAGGGCTTTAATCTCTACTACAGGCAATTACACGCTTCAGTAAGCTCAGACTTAATTCAGAGCGTTTTCCCTTCCTGTACTCGTGCAAGGCTTGGTCGTCAGTTATCAATCAGGTGTGAAAACAGCCTGGTTATTCGCTCCTTGTAGGCAGCTTTATCAGGCCACATCTTTAAATAAAATTGGCTTTCCTTTAGGGAAACCTAGCCACCACAGGTGAAAACAGTGGGGGGTGTATCTTGATGAAAGTAAGAAATGCGGGACCAGTGGACTGCCAACTGCTTGATTACCTGTCATTGACAATTTTAACTAATGGCTCTACTTGATTTACTTTATTTCTTTTTTTTTTTTTTTTTGGTAAGTAAATGATGGAATTGAAGGCATTTATTGCCTGTCTGGGACCACTGGGTTAACAGACATACCCAATGACCTCTGACCATAGTGACTGTTGTTTTTTCATTACAGCTGTTGTACTTTACTTATTTGTTCATATATATTTTTCAAATAAAATATGAAAATAGAAAAGGAGCTTTCTGACCTTTACAACATTGCAGGGCTTTCCAAAGACATGGGAGAAACTTGACATTCAAATGGAAGGAAAAATGGCCTTAAATTGCTGCCCTGACAAACACAAGAGTCAAGAGTATGAGCATAACTCAACACACCACCAGAGAGGGACAGATTTCACCAGTAGGTGCCAGTGCAATTATGGGAAACCGGTCTCCTGGGGGTGAGGTGTTCATTAAGCTTAAGGGGGATGAGTCTATATACATCTGGGGGCAGATTCTTCAGAAAAAAAAAAAAAAATGCAGTTATGCAAATACTTTAAGTGTGATACAAAGCTCTTCCAAGTGACCCGTGGCTATTGGAATCTTTTCAGACTGGTGTACCTGGTACCTTTATTGTTTTTTTCCCCTGCAAACTCCAGGCGTATATTTGAGTAGAAGTGCGTAACTCAAAGCAGCTTAATAACAAAGCAATCCTGGTTAAAAACAGTCTTTTAATAGTCCTGTTTTAAGTACTCTACAGATCCTAGAAACTCGTCAGCCACAGGCTGAAAACTGTTTCTTGGTGACTCATGAGCAGTTTCTCAAAACCCTTGAAAATTCTGTTTGTGATCACAGGAAATTAAGTTAACACTAAAACCAACAGCAAAAAGCACAGCATTGCTCAGGGAGTGTTTGTTGTGTCTTCATTGTTGTTCTTGGCCCATGGATGATAAAGTATGTGATCAGTGCTGTATAAGCTTTGAGACTGAGAAACTCATTAACAATGTAAATGTAGCTTTGTCTTGTAGTGTATCTTCATCCAAGTTTCAAGCAGAGCTGTAGCCCTGGGCCTCAGCATGGTTATGGCTTAATTCCTAAGTGTTTGGTCCTTGTAAAGTAAACTAGGGAAGCTGTATCAGCTGGAGCTGGCTCATGGCATCTCTGCAATGGAAACAAGGCAGGTGGAGTCAAGCCAGGCATCCCCTATGATGATAAGGTGAGAAACAGAGGAGCTGGGCAGTACCCTTAAGGGAACAAGTACAAGAGCAGAGCTATCAAATGCAGTATGCCAGTCTCTTGGCCAGCAGCAGGTACCAGGGACAGCCAGCAGCTGGCCTGTCCAGCAGTCTGCTGTAGGCACCAGGCTTTCTGCTGCCCCTAGCAGTCTTGTCCATCTTTTGCCCCAGGCAGTGGCTCTTTTTGGTGGCCAGGGGATCTTCGAGAAGCTGCAAATTATTACAGTGCAGGCAGGTTCAACTCTCTCTAGCAGAAGAGAAGCAGAGTTAAGTGATGCCATCTTACTGGAAGCTATCTCAAAGGTGCTAAACTAGTCTCTTGGCCAGACTATGTCATGGTGACATAGAGGAAAAAGAAGAGGTGCAAATTCAGGCTAATAGAAAGATAGAAATCTATGACACTTTCACTGTCAGAGTAGATGGATATCTACAGCTGCAGCATCCAGTATTTTCTCAGCTGTTTCCTCAGAGTACATATTTATAAAAATTAATTGATTTGATTTTAATCCAGTGATTTTGTTTTGCAAGCTTTCAGATGGCTTATGAGATAAAAATGTGAGAAGGGACACATTATACTGAAAAAAAAAAAAAAATCCCAACTTGGTGCTCTGTATTAGAACAGTTTTCCCCTTCAGACAGTCTTAAATAAGACTTTTTTTTTTTTTCCCCTTTCTAAAATGGGGATTTTTTTTCTTTTTTAAACATTAGACCAACTTAATGTTTTCTCAACTGAGAGGAGGAGGTGCTTCCAGAGGGAATTCACCTCACCCTAGAATAAGAGTCTGGTATAGATGAGATTTAATTTTCTTCTGAAGCTGGCTGCTTTGCACCATCAGTTACAAGAAAAACCCAAAGGTGAATAGGTTTTAGAAGTGCAAAACTGGATAAAATTAATGCTGTCTTTTGTCCATTGCAAAATACAATTGGATTAATGAAATCATCCTGTACCTAATATACAACCGACAAATGTCAACCCCCTCCTTTTAATTGACGAGATTAAGAGTTGAGAACAGTCAAGTATGACCAGTGATGCCTTGATTTGGGATGCCAATTTATGCTGACTTAAAGGAACCTGCTTATGAGAGTGTTGTTCCTTCTGAAAAAAAAAAAAATAGTAGGATGCCTATATCCCAGGTCTGGCTCCCAAAAATCGTAGGCCACTCGTAGTACAAGTTGATTTGGAAAGTCTAGTCCTGCATTGTGCAGTGTACAGAAGCCTTCACAGCTGCATTGCCCAAAGCAAACAGATGGTTTCACCTGCAAGGTTTTGTCTCATGTAAAATTCATGTTGTGAATTGAGAAAGAGCGTGTTTAGGGTTGATTGTTTTGGGTGCTGCTTAGCGTGGGTATTAGAGCAATAACAACCTCAAGCAAATACCCAGGAAAACCCATCCTCATCCAAACGGTTTGAGGAATACTTCCTGTCTTAGAGTGCAGAAGGAGTTAAGTGATAGATCAAAGCTATGAAGTCTGCTGGTAACATAAAAAAACTGATGGTGTCAGAGATCATATAAAAGGGTTAAAAATGATGATGTAAATCATGTGTGTTGGTTAAAATACTGTGAAAGCGCAGACAGAACCTGGAGGTATAATAAATAATCTTTGAATACCTGAGAGCCTTGTGGCCTCTCTTGTCATTAATCAGAAACCACAGACTGAGGGATTGGCTGGCAAAACATTAATCATTAAGCAATTAATTCCAGCCGTGAAAACAAAACTTTGTGATTTCCTGAGTAGGTGGGATTGATGGAGGCATGGCTTGGTTTTGCTTTTTGACCATGAACAAAATAAAGAAGTACTCAGGAGGCCATACATTCATCATTCAGATGGGACAGAAAATATCCTTTATTGTCCAGTTCTTCACTTCCCTTTTGTTTATATGAAACAGGAAGAGGGAAAATAGCCACAGGTTTTCCTAGGAAGCAGTAATGAACCTCTTGAGGTTAAACCTTTCTAGATGTGTGACACTAACAAAAAGGAGCTTTATTTCTTGTGTCTTAGAGTTCCTCCTGTTCTCTGTAAAAGCACGCTGGAAATTCTCCTCAGCAGCTTCACCAGCTGCAACAGTTGTCTTGTGAGACTCAAAACATCTGCCTTTTTTCTCTTTTCCTTGAATCCCAGTTTCTAATCATTTACCAATTACCTTAGGATCTTACCTTTCCTTGCTTTTAGTATTTATATTATTATTATATTAGTATTTATATTATTATTTAGTATTATGGAGAAAGCTAAAAATGCAGATATTAAAAGCAGAATAATCTGAACACAAGGAAAGTGGAGTCAAAACTGTGTATATACTGCTTTTGATTTTCTGCATGTCATTTATTTTTGCAGATAGTTCGAGGGACCTAGATTATATTTTTTTCATGTTTGGGGTTGCAAATGCGGCTAGAACTGCCACTTGTTTTCTTTTAAGTCTGAAACATACATAGTAAGAAGATACTTAGTCATGTTTTTCTCACAATTTCTGAGCTGAAAGCTGACCCCTCAAGGGCTGTGAGCACAACTTTACAACCAACGTCAAGAGACCACCTTTCTGTAAAGTCCTGTGGGAGGGATGGTGAGGCTGTGATATAATTAGAAGCTGCCTAAATGGTGAGTGGGTCTCAATAATTTGCCAAGTGCCATGCGAGAAGTTTGTGACAGAAACCAACTGTGGTTCTTTGGCTGGTACCTAACGCCTGGCCATCTGCCTCACCAAGCTGATGGAATAAATCCTGGGGGAGCAACTGGGGGAGCTGTTACCTCGGATCAGTCTGGTCAGTGATTGCCATAGGCAGAGGTCCTTTTGCTGGCTTCAGAAAGGTTATTCACAAGTTTAGGACACCATTTATTTTCGATATGGTCACTTTCACAGCAGTAGTCGGATGCTTCTTCCTCCTTTCATAAAACGTTTGGAAATACTAGCCACAAGACATGCAAGGAAAGCCTTCAGCAGAACAGGTGTCACAATTTGTGCCATGTACCCTTTCAGCTGTAAAGATGTCATCAAATCGAGGGTGTATCCTGTCTCTAGGTTGCATAGCAATAAGACACCTTTACGTACAGCGTGTTCCTCTCTTCAGGCAGCATCATAGAGTTCATGCAGACAGTCTGCAACACTTCTCTCTCCCTCTCCTCAGAGGCAGTGTGTGGCAAAATGCAGTGTGTGTATTAATAGCTTAATCAGTTAAAAGATTGCCATCCTCGTTAGAGGATGTTCCTGCCATAACAAAAACCCCAAAGGTTAAAATAAGTAACATACTTGGTATGAAAACTTTTGAGGACGTGTTCAGCCGGACAGAAGACAATATATACTAGGAAACAGAATGTTTTGTACTTGTGCATTATGTCAGTCTCCTACAGAGAGCCAATGCTACAGTCCCTAGCTAAGCAACACACTCCATGAGAGCAGAATCTGTCCGGCACAGATGGCCTGAATTCACATGTTACCACTGAGATTCTAACTGTGATTATTCTTCATTTCCTCCCTCTTCCCTTCACTTGTGAATTAGTCTCGTTTGAGGAGACAGGATGTCGGCTTGAAAAGCCACCTGGATCAGCTAGACCAGAGAATAAGTGAGCTGAAATTGGACGTCAGTAAGACCTCCAGTGAATACTTGGATAGTGACAGCAGACCCAGCTCAGGTAATGTGCACTCGGTCATTTATTCCCAGGGGTGCCATGATAAGAGAACTGAAGAGTGTCCATCTGCTAAGCAAACTCTGTATTGTTTGGTCAGAAACAGTGCCCTGTGCCTGAGGTGCAGAGCAGTCATCTGGCACAGAGCACACTCACAGAGCTGGTGGGAGTTTTCCTGCAAAGTTGATTTAGTTGGAAAATGCTTATTCACACAAACAATATTTTTTCTGGTTTTGGTTGGTTTGGGGGGAGTTGGTTTTTTTTGTTGTTGTTTTTGTTTTGTTTTTGTTTTTTTAATGGGCATTTTAGCCACAACTGAAAGAAAGAGGAGATAGATTTACTATGCAATTATCTTAACATTAGCTTGATGAACATTGCCAAAGTGGCTAGAGTACTTACCAACAGTGAAGGAGACCAACATCCATATCATTGCTCTGCTTGTATCTGAGGAGGGTCCTGAACATCACTAAGGCTTTGAAGATTGCCACCACTGCAGTGCTCTGGCCAAATGAATGTCTGATCATTTGTGTAAAAATGAAACGGCTCTATTGAAAGACACTGAGAAGAACCACCCCAGCAGTTTGCTGACTAAAGCTCTCATGGGCAGAAGTAGATTTGAGTTTCAGGTTTCTGATCTGATCCATATAGAGAGCTGTGCTGAAGACTTTTATAACGTGGATGTTTGTTAAAACCAGTTTCTGTTACCTACTCTGGGACAATGGGAATACTTTTTAATCAGAATTTAGAAAAGCCTCAAGTCTTCAGTGAGGCAAGCAAGGACATTTATTTTTTTTTTTGCATTACACAGATTTGCAGCCTGGTACTTAGAGTTGGTATAAAAAGTGCAAGTTTCTGTTGAGTGTTTAAGTTCAGGAGTTGTGTGCTTAGGCACATACACGTGGTTCCAAGGGAACAGGTTCCTTTTCTGGTTCCTTTTCTGCTGGCTTTCCATAGGATAGGAGTTTTTATTATTTCTCTCTGAATTTATGCAGAGCCTTTTTAATACTTCCATAATTAATTGGCAGTGATCACAAAGATAGCCTCCCTTTTCTCCCTTAGACATTCCAGCTATCATAGACTTGGCAGCTATGATCACAGGCTAATGTTACTCTACTTTCCCATCCAAGCTGTGCTTGTGTGCACCTAGCACAAGTTACAACAGCATAAGACAGCCCTATTTTACACCAGTTGCATAATAGTCCCCAAGAGTGTTCTCCAGTGAAGAACTGGGCGTGATGGTGCTGCACTTCACCCCATCCCACCCTCAGAGCTAAGCATGCATATGCGTGCCAAGCTGGTTCAGGGCCTAAGTAAATATGCAGAAGCCCAATAAAAAGTGGCTGAACTAAGAGTATACCGCTGCTAAAGTTATCCAAAGACATTACCTTAAATTTAGGCCTGTGGCACATGGCAAATGAGGGTTGGTTTTATTATCTGCATTTTTCTTCTACAGGTTATGTTTAGTTACTGTAAATAAGAAATATCTTCCTATTTATTTTTACTCTGCAGGCTTCTACGACCTGAGCGATGGTGGTTCTTGCTCACTCTCCAATTCTTGCACCTCAGTGTACAGTGAATCCATCTCCTCCTCCCACACTAGTCCCTTGCCTGGCTCTCAACACCCTAAGGCAAGGCTCAGTGTGTTTGACTACCGACCCAAGTCTGCAGATGAAACTACAGTGCACACCACCAGCCTCCAACAGCCCGGGGCCTGTGTCAGCGATGGGTGTGGGACTGCAGGCAGCACAGACACTGCTGGGGCTCCTGCCAGGCCCCGACCCAGGCCAGTTTCCACAGGTAATCAACTGCAGGACTGAATATTCACTCAGGAGAAGGGCAGAGTCCTGTTGTTACTTTTAGGACCCAACGTGTAATCCATCTATAGCACTCGTTTTCAATACACAAAATGAGAATTAACTGAATCCACGGAGTCAAATCTTTTATTGTCCAGCGTTCACTTGTTATATACTTCTAAACAATAACAAATATGAGGACGTATGCATTGAGAAATGGGGAAATATTTAAGTGCATGAGATAAAATTACAAAGAATGTTGAGATACTTTTTTAGTTTACCTACTTAAGAAATCAGAAAAATTGTAGTACTTGAAGTGCCTTGTGTGAAGGTGCAGGGACGTATGAAAAATAGGAAATTAATTCAAAGTTAGAAATGATGCATTTTACTGAGGTAGATTTTTACAGAAATCTATGGGGGGAGAGAGAGACACACTTCCAGACCTAGTGCCTGTTTTCTCAATCTGTTGTAAAATTAGTTTGATAATACTTAGTTGTACCTTGCCCTATTTATTCAAATCAATGTGGACTCAAATGATACTTTTTTTTTATAAGTTAATATGTACAGTCGGGAATAACAGAAACCAAAAGTTAACTGACTACCTAGGAACCAGTCACGAGCCTAATAGTGGATCAACCATGAATTTGCATCATACCTTTAGAAAAAATTGACAAGTCCATTAATATTCAAAATCTCTTGTTTACTCATCTGTGAAGTGACATTGTGTGACTTCTTATTTTGGGTCCTTCCATGGCCTCAGAGCAACCGTGTGTTAGTGCAGTTCCTCTTCCATTATAAAAACAGTGAAGCCATAGGGAACATAATTTAAAGTACCATGTCACTCTGGAGACATTGCCAACAGTTTTTTGACTTGAGCTCACCCCTGGCATGCTTGGAGCAGAAGCAAAGACTACCTGTTCTGCACCTGTCTGTGCAGACACACCTGAAGTAGTGGTGGTAAACTATAAAGTAAAAGCAAAGTCTTCCCAGGGGCTGGGGATGGACCTGAGCTGAATGATCCTTGGCTTCCATGTGCAGATTACAGATTTCGTATTCTATCAGAAGCCTTACTGCTTTGCAGCATTTTGCTAAGACCCATGGGGCTTTATGGGGTTTTTTTGGATATGGAGATAGGTTAGCAGAAAAAGAGATAGCTGTTGTTAAGTTGGGGTGCAGGAGTGATGCTACAGACATCCTGCAGCCCTCCTTCCCTTTTCTACCACCAATTCCCTTCTTTCTAACTGCAACCTCTTCCTTCAGTGTGAGAAACAATAGTAGGGTAGTAGTGGATGTAGGCGTGAAGAAACAATTCTTGCAAAGTTGACCACGTTGCAGGAGGTGAAGCAAGATGTTACTTCAGAAAAGCATCATTTGGAGAGAAGAAATGTCTCTTTTCTTCTCCTTAGCTTGTCCCTACTGGTAACTGCAGGTACAAATTGCCTTTTCTTTCAGTGGTGAACAGAAAGCTTGCTGAGACACCACAAGCACAGCATTCTTTTGACACCTTCCTGCTTTGTTTGCACAAGAGAGCACCACTGCAGACACAATTTCCTAAGGAATTTTCATTATGAACAGCTGTTGCTTGAGAAGTCATTATCCCAACCTTTCCTGTAGCAGTTCTGTAAGTGCCTTAGGTAGGACACTGCAGACAACAACAAATTTTTGAAGTCTTTAAAAAGCTTCCTATCACAGGACAGAAGTAGTCACTGTAAGTGAAATACGTGTTTGGATTTGATGGTTGAGTTTCCTGGTGGCATTAAGCAGCCAGGAAATCAGTTAGCTGAGGCTCTGTTGGCACTGAAGTCTGCACTGTTGTACAGGGAGATCCAAGGCAACTGCCAATGGTTGTGGTACTCTGGGTACCAGAGGTAACACAGCACTGTGGTGCTCTGTCAGATGGCTTGTCTGGATGGAACAGTCTTGCTTCACCCAAGAACACAGCCTGTCCTCCCAGTGCACAGGAGAGGCTCCTGAGAGGAAGGTGCAGCAGTCAAGTGTAACCTTGACTGTACTCCAAAATTTGAGAGAGATGAATTGGTGGCCATAAATGCCATCTTCAGGGACTGAACCTCCCACCTGCCTGACTAGTTACCCTTAGTTTTTTTTTTTTTTTTTTTTTTCAAAAAAAAAACTTTGCCTTTTAAAAAACCCAATTTTATAGCTTTTAATAAAACCTCAGATTATTTCTTTCTGGAATTAAATGCTCTAAGAAGCTACTTACTTGAGGAAGCCATGAGACTGGTGATGTTCTCAGATGAAATGAGGAAACCAGTTAGGACATTTCATTTGGTTTGGGATTAAGGAAAAGTAGAATCATGTCACTCTCTGACCTGTGTGACACTTGAGTCTTAACAGCGTTGAGTGCTTCTGTTTACTAATGTCATAGTGAAGCAAAAAGCAAAGGAAGAAACAACTACAGCTTACAGCATTTAAGAGGTTAAGAAACACTAAAACTCTCTGCTTAAATCCACTTACAACAGCTGGTTGAGTACTATAGATTTTTCCAAGACCTGATAGAAAAGGGATGGAAGAAAAGCTGGAATTCAAATTTAACTACTTAAAAAAAAAATACCATTGACTCTGTATGCTGGACATTTCAGGAATTTCTGAGTTACAATCACATATCCAGAGGAAGTCTGTATCTTATCCTGGGGGGAAAGTATTCAGAAACTATCTCTTGGAAAATTTCACATGACATTCAGCTTCAGGCTTTCTGGTTGTTGGATTCACTTTTTATCTCTGCTAAGAAATAAAAGTAATCCCTTATTTTTGCTTATTTGGTTGGGTTCCTATTGGTCTGTGACACTCAACTTTTTTTGTATGCACAGATTTACTTTCATCCAAGTAGTACTCTTTAAATTTCCTGCAAAAGCATGAGTTTTATTACTGGTATTAAAAGGCATTCTAATCTTTGTTATGCTCAGGTGAATAAAAACTTCGAAGTAATTCAGTGATCTTGGAGGATTGAAACTATTTTTTTCATTCATGCTACTGATCTTAGTAAAAGTTATCACATGCCTCTGAAATGGCACTTTTAGCATAAGCCCCTCTGAATGTAATTGTCTGTGATTTGATTAGGTTATTTATTTTCATTCACTGTGTAGGTGACTTGGAAAGACTCGTCCCAGCAGACACTAGATTTCAGAAGGAGACAGATCCCAAATCCATGTTGCCTCTGTGCCATGCCCGAGACACGCGCTTGCTCAGCATGGACCCCAAGTTCCAGAATGACTTAGTCTCCAAGAATGGCGTCGATGTGTATCCTTACCCAAGCCCCCTTCATGCCGTGGCTTTACAGAGTCCCCTTTTCTCCCTGGTGGGCACATCCCCAGAAGCAGACCTCCAGGCTCCTCCCAGCAAACCCATGCCTAGTGTGACAGATCCCATCTTGATTAGGACTAGGCCAACCACTGAGGCCAGGCCAGGGGGGTACATCAATAAATTACTGCAGCTGACGAGATGCAAAGGGAACAATCGGGCCGATGCCAGCGAGTGGGTTTCAACAAAGAGCCAGCCAGCCACAATGCACCAGAGACTCATTATATCCCCCAGCGCCGGCGGAGTGAAAATTAACAGCAGCAGTAGCCAGCTGGAAAAACAAGTGAGTTCTCTGGAAAGTAACAAAGCTGAAAGGAAGCTGCAGAGAGAGGTGCCGGAGGGGGAATGTGCCAAGCAGCAGGAGACAGTTCGCTGTGTGAATGAAGAGCAGCCGTCCACTCGGCCTGACACAGAGCCATCAGCTGTGAATAGTTTTTATCCTGCCAAGTCAGCAGCAAGGGGCTCTCCTCTGGCAGAAGCAAAGGAAAGCAGCGTGGAGCACAGTTCATCCTGCTCACAGCTGTGCCAGGAAGACTCCAGCTTGGACATCTGGACCACTAAAGCCATCCCACCCAAAAAGCTGCCCCTCAAAAGGTGTGGCAATGCCAAATTGGCTAATGCTGGCGGTCACGAGCGAGGGGCACGAAGTGAGTTTGTTCACGCTCAGTTCGTCCCTGCAGAATCCCATCAAGTGCGGGTCAAGTTTGCCAGCTCCAAAACAAAGGCAGTGAAGATAAAGAGGAGGAACAGTGAAAAGGCACTGCGGCCTGGGAAGCAAGCCTTTTGCATGGACAAGGCAAGAAGCTCCCATGTGGCGGCCAGGCTGCCTGCTGAGTGGAATCAGCCCCAAAGACCCCACGAACCGAAGAGCCTCGTGCGGAGACCTTCGTATTCTGGTGATGTGACTGGCAGGTCGTGCTCGGAGTCCAGCCTGTTCCCCGGGCAGGTCGGGCTTCCCGCGGTGCCGTCCAGGCCGGAGCTCTACAGAGCCTCCGCCGGCGCTCTGTGTCCCCTCGAAGCAGCGTGCGTAGACTCGGCCAACAAGAAGAAGCAGCGCAGGTGGCAGTCCACGGTGGAGATCTCTGCCAAGGCCCAGGCCG